GCTGGAATTGGTGTTACTGACTTAATAGGCAGGGCTAGGCAGGAAGATGGACCGATAAGGACTTTAGACTGCTTGTATAGGTCTTGTGCGTCATTGGTCTGATCGATAAGCCACTGTACCCTAACTACCTGTACATTATATATTAATAGGGCACAAGGCCACTTGTCTGAAAATAATATTTTCGTCATTTTAGGACTTACAATGGCTGAATATGGAGCAAATTAAGAATTTTTAAATGATCGATGGTTGTTGATCAACCTTCTATTACTGTAAATTAATTCATAGGTTCAATGTAATAGGCCTAAACTAAAAATGAATATCTGAGATCATTTAGTAAGAAACAGTATTTTTTATTTCTCATCTAGACATGGCATAAATAATACAGCTGTTTAATGATGTAACCTTTATTATGATGACATTAATTAACACTCACTAGTAAGTCTTATCTATAATCTCGCCGCGAGATTTGAAGTTCTTGTGTTCAATCGCCAATAGCGTTGTGGATAAGCACTACTCAAAGACTTTATAGTAGGATGAGACAGCTCCTTAATACTTTCCAATTCTCAGTGGTTTTTCGAATATGGTTACTGTTTGATGTAGACTTTATGATCTGGAAGTAATATTTACAATTCATTTCAGAGACACGTCACCAAGATGATCGTGTTGCAGCAAATCTTTTAAGAATGAGATTTTAACACTGACTGCTGACTAACTAGTTACCAATATCCTGTTTGTTTACTTCTTATTACAGACCATATATTGAGTTGCGATGAAAAGTAAGACAACACTTTCTTGGAAATAGTAATACTTTCGCGGATGAATGAAGTAACATTGTTGCTAATTCATGAGTACAGTATATTCCATAAGTCTTTCAAAATCTAGTCAAGTGACAATAGAATCTCATGATGGACAAAGTGTTTAACAATCATAAAGAGTAGATTGTCTACTAATTAAACGTGACGAAATATGTTTTATATTGACTTTCATCATTAAGTTAAGAATCAAATAATTGTAACTTAGAAATTTTGTTATTTCGATTATAATCCACAATCAGTCAGCTACAACATAGGACCAGGCACATATATGCATCGGTCCAAGTTGCCATACCGCATTAGCACTGCAAGATGAACACCGGATATGAAGTGATTTTAATTTCATAGTTTGAAAGAAGACAGAGAGTGTATACACCGACACCATTGTGATTAATTCTGAGCCATTTCACCAAAAGTTTCCAACCATTGGTTACGATAGTCACACAGAACCCAACCAAGTAGTCTGTATCTACCAGCATGGCTCACATCAGAAGTTAGTGACTTCAAGCACTGATACCACGTTTTGGTTTGGCCGACCCTAACTTTCTTCCAACCACCCCCAACACCAGTTAGCATTGCACGTCGTGGTAATCGGTTTTCAGGCATACGTAACACGTGGCTCAACCATCTCAGTCGATGAAGATTAACAACCTCATCGACTGATTTACCATCATTCTCTAATACCCTACGTCTAACCTCACTATTACTCACCTGGTGATCCCAGCAGACGCCAGCAATATTTCTGAGGCATCTGTGGTCAAATACTAGTAGCTTACGAGAATCTTCAGCTCTTAATGTCCTTGTTTTGCAGCCGTAAATTAGAACAGAAAGAACTGGTGCGCAGTATGCCCGTCTATTTATTGGTAGACGGATATCTTGCCTTCGCCATTGGTGACGTAAGTTGGCAAAAGCCAATCGTGCTTTTCGAATCCGCGCTGAGATTTTGTCAGACACCAACTCGTTAAGGCTGATCAGACTTCTAAGATAATTGAAGTTGTCAACGCGTTCGACTACTTCACTCTCTATTCTTAGTTCAAGTGTTGACGCAGTTCTTTTCAATACGACCGAGATGAAATGAATGCTAAAGTTAAGTTAAAAAACACTACCAGAAAATTTTTGAATCAGTGTACAAGTATTATAGGAATAGATATACTACCTACCACAACAAGCCTTCGTTGCAGAAATATATGAGCTTCCATCAAACGATAAGGGATCAATTGGAAGTTTTGCATTGTATAGTTTACATGATGTCGTACTCTATAAATATTAGAAGAAAGAATAAACGGAATAGAATCGGTGTGATCAATTAAATTTCTTCAAAAGCTTCACATACCAGTGCATATATATAGAGTCTCGTACTACGATGTACAGGCTGTTCAGTGATTCCGGGTTTTCAATAGATTTCTAACATTGATCGGTTCATAGCTTCAATCAAATATCATAAATCATGGACTTTATCTAGTTTTATTCACAAATCGTCTTATATTATGTTTATTGTAGTCATCTTTTTACACCGTGTGGAGAATTAAATAATTTCATTTCTTAATGGTTCTCACGGTGGTCTTTCGGTTTGAATTTTCATCCATAACACTGACTGTTGTATATCTTATTTACAAATACTGTGAATATATTTTCGAAGTTAGGTACCATTAGGTTGACATGGCAGTCACTAAAACAACTTTGCATCGTTATCCGAAAATAGTCACTTAAAATATTTTAGTAATATGTTGATCGAACAGTATCAAATCAAACACCATTGAACTATAACATCAGCCTGTTCATGCTTTTTTGCTAGAAAATCGGTAACTCTGTAAGTCTTCGATATTGGATGCTGATCACATTAGTTTTAATAGACTCACCTAGCTGAAGGCGCTCGGTCATGCATCCTCACTAGATCACGAGAGGGAACGCCTTGTTCAAATTCTCCTGCAACCGCTAGCAAGTTTACATCAGTCGTTTCTTGATATATTGAGAGCCTATCAAATACATCTTCAAACCTCCTCGCTTCTGACTTTTGATTTCACTGGGTTGGCACGATTCATTCATAGAAGGTGTTACTGGTTGAAGTGTTGTCAAACTGTAAATACCTGTGGTATCTTCAGAGTCACACATTAATAGGAATCATAATAAAAGAATAAGTAACCATAGAATTCTCAGTGTTCTGGAGTCTCTGAGCAGGAAGTTTTATTTGTAATTAAACGACATAAGATGGAATTAATATACTGATTAGAAGTTGGAAGGTACGTGTTTGCGTGAATTTGTGTCGTGACAGTTACAATGAAATGTGAGAAAAAAAGTTTGGCACATCTTTATGATACAGAGATCAGTTGGAAATTTTGTTAGTAACGACATCTGCAAGCAAATGAGTTAATTCGAAGGCTTTAAGAATAATCACTTTTTTCTTGTACAGTATTCATCAGTGTTTGATGATCGTACTCAAGAAGACATTGTGGTGGTGGGTATTCAATATAATCCTTAAACTTCGTATGCAGTTCGTCCTGACAACCGTCACTTGATAACGCCCCAAAGGTGTTTTAATCAGAAGTTGAATACGAAGAGTTGATTAAGTGTATTATTGCACCATGTACAGATAACCAGTGGTGAGTCGGTTGATGAGTCAGTAAATTTTCATCTTTTGAGAAGACTAATACATGTGCTACCTATACAAGACCAACATCTATGTCAACGTACAACGATAACTGATGTAACAATAAGTACAAGAAAATTTCAAGGCAGTTCAAACCGAGAAATGGCATTAGTTCACGAAGTCGTAGACGGTCGGACTAAAATTATCAGTAGTTGTAGATTATCTCGTCAGAATGTAAACTAATGGTTAGAGACATTAAGTGTCATGCCGCAGAATTAGTCACAGTGATGAATAGGTGTTCAATCTTTGTCTTCTCTTAGATCTTGAGTTTCAAAATTATCTTTTATTCTTCCGTTACATGGATTTAATGTTTTTTGAATCGGACGTAGACCCTCCTTTCTGTTCTAATGATGTAACTGCTTTGGCAGATGTATGTGATTTTATATACATAGTTGGTGGTAATATGAAAGGGATACCTATCGACCTTTGATTGTGTTAAAGAACATGTTTTGGATAGGACAATCAGTTTAGCTGCCGGATACGTTCTTGTCGATGCAGTTTTTAGTCTCACAATGATTGATCCTGGCATATCATCACCTTTGAATTAAAGTTGAGTAAAAATAGGTTTTTCTGTTTACTGTAGTTTCTTTTGGTGTTTTTTTATCTTCAATTTTTGTATATTTCTCAAGGAATCCCAGGGGTATCCGTTGTTCTTTGAACATCTCTTAACATTCATCCGTTCCTCTTCTAGTGTATCGGCAGAACATATACTTTTTGTTCTGTGAAATAGTGTTTTAACAAGTGGCTTCTTGTAACTGATTGGACAAAACCTATTGAGATTGAGATAAATCCCATTCCATGTGTCTTTCTTATAAACTGAGCGTTGAACTATGCCATCCTTCCTTCATTTTATTGCGATATCAAGAAAATGAAACTCGTTTTCATTTTTCTGTTCCATAGTTAAATGAATATTTGGATGGGCTTCGTTGAAAAATTTTAGCAGATTTGTTGCATGTTGTTGATTATTACATACGATGAAGGTATCATCAACATACCTCGAATAATACATCATTTCGTCAATCGCTCCTTTGAGCTTGGTTCTTTCGAGGTTAGCCATGAAAATATCTACTAGGACAGGACCTAAAGAACTTCTAGTTGCTACACCATCGAATTGTCGGTATATGATATTTTTGAACTGGAACATCTTTTGTACACATGATTAACAGTCGTTTGAATTCTGATGCTGGTAGAGGTAGGATGTCAGAATGATGACAAATTATGTCTATGATTTCAGGAAGTGGTATTTTTGTAAACATTGATGTCACATCAAAGGAAACCATGAACTTATCAACAATATTTATGTGGTTCGTGTTGTCAGCAAATCCAAATGAATCCTTTAATGTATACGTGGCTAATCGTTCTCGATCTTTTCTATGAATATATTGGTTTATACTAAAAGATTGAAGTCACTTGTCAAGATGCTACTGATTTACATTCTATCCTAGTTAGTGTTGGGACGATGCAGTTATTACTAAGCTATTTGAGATAGGACTAGTCTGTTAACTTGAGATACTACCCTTAAACAATATCACTTAACAATAATGAACACAAATGTGAACATTGCTGTAAGCTGATGAGGAAAAACGTAACTTGTTATTAAAATACATAACGACAGAAAGTGAATATTCATTATTTACTCATAAGGAAACTGATTTTAATTTAATTATTCTACATTTAGTCCCAATAACTCTGTGCAATACTACTACTACTACTACTACTACTACTACTACTACTACTACTACTACTACTACTACTACTACTACTACTACTACTACTACTACTACTACTACTACTACTACTACTACTACTACTACTACTACTACTACCACTACTACTACTACTACTACTACTACTACTACTACCACTACTACTACTACCACTACTACTACTACTACTACTACTACTACTACTACTACTACTACTACTACTACTACTACTACTACTACTACCACTACTACTACTACTACTACTACTACTACTACTACTACTACTACTACTACTACTACCACTACCACTACTACTACTACTACTACTACTACTACTACTACTACCAGTACTACTACTACCAGTACTACTACTACCGGTACTACTACATAAGAATAATAGTAATGACAATAATAGCAATATACAACTTCCTCAACCTTCTACGACTTACGGGCATTGTTGTAAATGAATAGCATTTCAAATTCTTTTGACATTCAATGAAACAATAATTTGTATTCAATATTTTTAAAGTATATAAAGAAACAAAATTGAGAAGAGGGGCTCCTGTTAAGAATATCCATTGTGTATAATTACATTCATTAGATGTTTTACTATTGTTGTATTGAATACATGATGTATTATATATAACACTAGCATGTATATTAACTAATATATGTTGATGTTTTAAGTAATAAAGCAAAATAATGATTATGGTGATTTGTAAATAATTCATAATATTGAATAAATCTACTTATATAAGTAGTAATGTAACTGCAATGCATAAAAAGTTTTTGATTTTCGCTTTATATATAGATTGATTATTTTTAAATTTACCAATCAACTAATTAGAATTTAATCGTTTAAGATACAACCAATAATAAATTGATTGAGATCATGAAAATCATTGAAGATCTGAAAGTACAAGACAGCCGTTTTGTCTTGCTAGAGTGATCGTGGATGCGAACTGTTGAGTAGTCTCATAATAGGATAAAACGGCCGTCCAGTGCTTCCAAGTTTTCAGTAGTGATTTAACATCAATCGGTTCATGATCTCAATCAAAAACTTAATAATCTCCTCAACCGTATATTGATAACAAGAAATTGATTGAAAATAATATTTATGTAACTGATTCTGGAGAAATGAATGAATTTGAAGGCTATTTTTAGTTACTAACTGACATTAGAAAGTGAAATAATGAAAGCTAAAGAAAAACTGGGGAAATTTATTTCTTAAATCAATAGTAGAAATCCAAAATAGTTAACTCAAAAGACGTATACATGAAATGGAACTGAGAGTATTCAATGCTTATGGTTAATTGAACAACTACATTCCACTCATTTTAGTTATAATGGTCTATAAATTATAAATAGTAGTTATATGATTTTTTAGATGATGAGTAAGATTTTTAGCTTAGGTGGAGTTTTATTCTTTGAACTGGATGGTTCAATCGTGGAGCTTTCATTATTTTTCTGAACAACATCATCTGCATAAACTAAAATCTAGTTTAGAAAACAAAACTCCACCCAAAATAGTGGTCATTTTATTATTTTGTAAGTTGGTGTTATTTTAACTTGTGATCATTTATGGACATTGTCTACTATGAAGTTACATCTTTAGGCCACCGAGCCGACATCCGAGGCTGTTAATGTCTAACTTCAACCAATCCACAAAGTTGCGTCAAATTATACCATTGTCTTCAGTGAGCTGATATCTCACAACAGACCTGGTTGAACTCCACTAGTAACGGCTTCCCACTAGAACTCCAGGAGTATCTCTTGAAGTCAGTCACTAGTGAGCGGATGATTATTATCAGACGGGCTTTGTGGAGATGGTCTAATGGTTAAGTGCTCGCGCGCGAGACCAATAGGTCCTGGGTTCAAGCCCCGCCGGGTGTGGGGTCGTGGATGCGCACTGCTGAGGAGTCCCATACTAGGACGAAACAGCCGTCCAGTGCTTCCAGGTTCTCCATGATGGTCTAGCTTCAATCGACTCATGATCTCAATGTGTGAAATTTCTAAAATCTCCACAAAGCCCTTCTGATAAAACCGTTATTGTCAAGTAAATGATTAATATGGGGAATGCCTGTTTGATTATCTATTAGTTTGTGGTGATACCTTCAAATTTACTGAACACTGGCAATCGCTTATTGAACTATTATTGTAGTTCGTTTCCAGAATATGTAGATACATTATGTTATGTTCTTATGCTCTGTTAATTATCAAGTGGCAAGATCGTCAATCCGAACGCCGATTTACACGACCTTGGCACTGTGCCAAACCAATGACGTGTAAAACAATACGAGCTGACTAGAGTGAACTTTAAGTCTTTATCGGTTCTTCCTGCCTAACCCTGCTCATTTGAGTCAAGAACACAATGTGGAACTTATCATCCTTTTCTTGTTCCATGGTAAATTGAATATTTTTATGAGAATTGTTGGAAAAGTTTAAGTGTTTTGTTTGTTGTGGATCATTACATACAATAAAAGTATCGTACCTCGCATAATACATCATCTTATCAATCTTTCCTTCAACTTCGTTTCTCTTTCAAGTTTCAAGGTTCTTTCTAACTTATTAATACTGCTTATGTGGTTGAGACTGTCAGCAAATTGGAAAGAGTCATAACCATTAATCACCTAAAGTCGGACTTATATATCCAAGTGAACACAGTTGTAAACCTATCCTTACCATAGTGGTTTTATCGTCAGTTTATTATAAAATTTTTGGAATTTTCTTCTCTCTTTCTCTCTCCTGTTTCAATTGCATCCCTTGTTTCGATGTTATTAACCTTATTATCTGTTTTTTTAAATTAACTAATCCCAACTCATCTTATTCTTAATTTAATAATTCAGTTCATGGGTCAATCAGAGTTAGACCACCATTGGAAAACCCAGAAGCACGGAACTGCAGCTTGATCCTAGCATGGGACTCCTCAGTAGCGCGCACACACGACCCCACTCACGGGATTCGAATCCAGGACCTTCGGCCTCGCGTACGAGAGCTTAACCTCTAGACCCTTGAGCCGGCATCCAATGGTGTTAATATCCAACTTAATTTTTATTAATTTACATCTAACTACTCCATTATATAGTCAGTGAGTCATTTGTTACTGTCTGATGATCCAGAATCTCCTCTCACATTTTATATTTATTTACAAAACTCATTATATGTCTTCACTACTCCACTATAGTGAGACATATCCATTTTTACTGTTACACGTTTGTAAACATTCCCATAAACTTGATTTTAAATATTACAGATCGTAAGTAACGGATGAGAACCGAACAAAATATAGTGAATTCATGTTATTCTGCTCGGTTGTTTGCTCTTGTTCTGTTCAATTAAATGCATCCACGATCCCACACGTGGAAATCGAACCCATAACTATTTATGTTTTGAGAAGAATCTTGTGTAAGCTAATTTATGTCACATTCTTAGTTATGACCAAATAGCTAACTTTATACATTCGTGAATCATTCCCAATATACTATCTGTAATTCATTGTTACAAATTTAAAATTAGATATTTATGTAAATAATCTGCTCCTTATCTGATTTCTGGTAAAATGGAAGGTGATCACGTTCTAGATGGGGGAAGTAAATGGACGAATTAAGAATTGGAACTTGATGTCAACTGATCATTATCAAACAATGTTTTCATTCATTTCTTTTATTGTGTGTGTTATCTCCTAATGAAGATTACATTACGAGTAACTTCTGAGGCTTATTAATGGACTATTATTATTTATATATTCCCATGGTATAAATATTCAGTGACTAGATTATGTATATCTATATTTGCCTTGTTTTAAGCTTTATTTTGACCTATAATTTATTATTGTACGATTTACAGTTCTTAAGCTATGTTCAATTTATTAACTACTGCCTCCCACGTTCATAGTCACTTTTTGGCTTTATTGTGTACAAATGTTATTTCCTATTTTATGGTGCGTTGCGGTCTGTTTGGTTGATATATAAACCCAGTATGTCTGAAATAAATGATTCGATTCGCATAATGGAAGCTGGTATTGGTGTTCTAGACTCAAGTGGACGGGCTAGGCGGACATAGGACCAATAAGGATGCTGGGCTGCTCATACCGGTCGAACGTCATTGGTTTGGCACAGTGCTAAGATTGCATAAGTCCTATTTTGATTGGTGGATAAATCACATGATAAGAAGCTGGACATAAAGTCATAATAGTATGTGCGATATAAACTATAAATTCTAACAGTATTGTACACTTGTGCAACTGCTTTGCTTTAACCAAATTTACAGGATTGAATAAGGCAATTTATTATCATCATTATCAAACTACATGGTAATGTGTAACAAAAAAATATTTTTGAAGATAAACATTAGGGAATGGAGACTGATAATGATCTCGTTAGTTTATTCTGAAAAAGTTAGTGGATAAATGTAATGGATTCAAACCATTTCATGATATAACTTTGTTGTCTCCAGCTTGTCCGTCATTTCATGATATTCTTCATCAAAATACACATTAGAGGATTAATTAAAACATTTGAACTAAGCCTAGTTGTCAAACTATCCTCAAATATTTACGTTGTTTCACTCAATTGGGTAATGTGTATTGTATTTTAGTGCATTATACATAATACTATCATTAATTTTACTTGATCATCACAATATTGTTTTCTGTGTACTAGTTACGTTACTTACTAATATTCAGTAGCTTAAAAATTGTCAGTGAATTTCTCTTCTATTGTTATTGTGATATGTTTGAATATCTGTTGGGACTCATGATTTAATCCATTTTTTTTATTGTAATTGTATTCTTTCAGCATTCCAAGTAGTTCACCTTTATTATATGAGTGTTCATTGATAATTTTTTTTACCCACAAAATGCTTTACATTTGGTGTGCATAACTCTCTATTCGAATTATTGCCTATCGTTGTTGAATTTCACACAACTAACAACTGTTTCTTAGCTACTTGAATGTTTTTCGCAAATTACTCTTGATTCGATTTGACGAATGTATTCTGTGAAGTTGATATAACAGTGGAGTGGTCATAACGATTACTGTTGTATCCCGACGAGAATTATGAATGGTAACTTTTGAGAACTATTTACGGACTAATACGATACATATACTTTCTTGCATAATTATTAAATAACTAAACCATACACATTCCTGTTCCTCTTATTATAAGTTTTATTTTAATCCATAGACTATTTTTATACGATTTACCGCTCTTGAGTTATACCTGGTCTATTGATTACAGTCTCCCACATTCACAGCCACTTTTGACTACATCTTGTACAAATGTTATTTCCCATTTTATGGTACGATGTGGTCTGTTTGGTTTGTATAAAAATACAATATATTTGAAATACATGATTCATATCGCAGAGGCTGGAATTGATGTTCTGAACTT